ACTGCACACAAACAGGCGTTTACACCCTGGGTTTTCTATTCGGGCACTGACGAAGGATATGTGCATATGTGTATTTATGTGTGTATGTATGCGTATGCATATATATATGCATGTATATGAAAYTGTTTGGATATGTAGGTAGGGGTARGGTTGTGTATATATTTGTATATGTAAATGGGTATGGTTTTCAGCAAGGCTTAAGTCATTATAATTATTATGCATTTTTGTTGCTGTGGTTTTGCTATCTTTGTTTTGTAGGTGTGGAGCCGAGAAGTCCGGTGTGCTGTCTTGTGTTTTCTCAACATATAATTTACATATCTTCTAATCTCTTTTTCACTCTTTCTCAATGCATTTCACTTTTCTTTCTTCTTCTTTTTCTCCTATTAAAAAAATCATAATAATGGTGTGGAGAGGATGGCTATAGGGGGAGAAGGGCGGCCATAAAAAAATTACTCCTACACTTCACTTAAAGACTGAGARYCTTGATAACTGACTTTAACTCTCAGCTTTTAACTAAGAATTATTTTACACTTCAGTCCACTCTTAGCAGCATTCTGAAGAGGAATTCTAAGATGTTTTATAAATATGGGCCCAGATCTGTTTAAGTCCTGATTTATAGAAACTTGGAGCTACAGGAGCTAGACTTTCTTTTCTGTAGGACTGGATAAGTTTACATCATTTAATATCATAAAATCAGCTTCAAGACAGACGCTTTAGTTTTGATAAAAGTTTGTGAAAATAGACTAAAACCAGATCTGAAGGTTGTGTAAGGTTCTGACTTCTCTGGAGTGTGTTGAGTCCAGTAAGATGGAAACAGAAACACCATTACAAGAAAACATTCAGTTTGTTTATATYGTGCCAATTCAGAACAGAAGTCATGGCCGGGCAGCYAACAGAACCGATCACATACTTTATCAGGTTTATTGAAGTTCTCTGTGTGAGGAASCCAGCAGAAACACCAGTTTGGTCTGAGGTTCTGTTAGAACCCAGCAGACATGTCGTTTCATAAACTCATTCACACAAATGAAGCACGTGYAGCTGACGCAGAAAACTGTGCAAAACACTTCAGCATGACTTTAAGAATATGAAGTGCAGAAAGAGAAAAGACTAATTTTATAAATAAAACACAATATTTCTAAAAAAAAAAGGTAGTAAAAAAGATGCATAATATTACTGACCAGTTAAACTTCAGCCTGAACAGAACACAGAACACAGAACCCAGAGTAGAACACCAAACCTGACCTTCCACAGGTCTCTGCAGGATCTGGTTGCTCTCCATCTCTTTAAAATGATCAAAGTTTGAAAGTCCAGAAGGAAGGAGGACTGATTGMTTTTACTTTCACCAAATCAGAAACTGTTTTGAAAAAAAAAAAAAAAGAAAAATGTCAGATTGATATGAGCCATGTGCAAGAACTAAGTCTTTAAAGGACTTCTCAAAGTTTCTAAAGTCCTGTCATCCTGGCTCTTAAAATCTGTGGAGGCTCTGTTTAWGGGTCACACCCAAAGAGGTCCTCGACATCTGAACCAGCAGCACAGACCACCTGGTCAGTAATGAAGCCTCTAATCGAGTAAAAACCTGATCCAGAACATTGTTCGCCCTCACAGTCTGTCACAGTTCTGAAGAGCAGGTGAAAGTCCGTTGATGCTCACTCTCCTGGACATCTGCCCGTGTTCTGGAGGACCAGCCCCACCCTGCAGAGTCTGGGTCAGGCTAACTTGGGCGGTGCTGAAAGAAGTGATTCTCCCACTTCCAGCAATCTGCAGGTTGACGGTGGTGGCGTAACTGGTCTTCTGGTTCCCCTGTTTGGAAGGAGGTGAAAGGGTGAATGACAGAGGTGAAGATCTGGGGGTTGAGGGGGGTGGGACAGAGGGTATCGGAGGTGGTGTGGTGGCCTGAGGTGGTCTCGGGCTTTGGAACTGGTGCTGGTATAGGTCCGGTGGAGAGGAGAAACCCAGGCATGAGTGGGAGGGATTGTGCGTTTGGGAGGGACGGGCTACATAAGCACAGATGAGCTGAGTGCGACAGTTCCCCTCCTCCAGTTCTGGCTCACCACACTCAGTCCGGCTGTCTGATGGAGCCGCGGAGGTGAGAAGGTGCAGTGAAGGCAGGGGGGGAGGACAGGGGGTGGTAACAGGAGGACTAACACTTGTTTCAGGGTCTTCAGTTCTGGTGGATTTGTTTGAAGGATCTTGAACATCTGACCATGTAGTTGAGTYCTGCCCACCTGCCATTCCCTTAGCAGAGGTAAACCTGCTGGACCAAAGTCCAGCTCTGGGGCTGAGGCGAGACAAGGACCTGCTGTGTGAGGACCACTCACTGCTTGGACTAGTTGGACTAACTGGACAGGACTCCTGCTCATTATAAGAAGCTCGGAGGCTCCCGCTGAAACCACAAGATCTCCGTCTGCTGTCTGCCCAGGAATGACTCAGTCCATGCTCGTCGCTTGGAGCTGGACTCCATGGTCTGTTTTCCAGGCTGGAAGAGAAAGTCCTATGGAGGTTCTGAGAAGGAAGAGGACAGAATCTGGACAGAGAAGTCCTCCCTGGGAGAAAGGAAGAGGAAGCAGATGTAGAAAAAGAAGAAGTCTTGTGTGTCGGTGAACCTGAAGCAGAAGAAAAGAATGGAGGGGAGGAAACATACGGAGAGCTTCTTGGGAGTGGTGTTTCTACATTATTTGTCCAAACTGACACACCGATAGGAGGAGGGGAAAGAATCCCAGGTCTCCCATCTGAGGAAACTTCTCCAAATGCAGAACCTGCAGAGGAAGCTCTGGGTAGATCTAAAGGAAGATCTAGATGGTTGTGGGAACGTCCAACCCGTGTGCCGCGAGGGTGGGGAGGTTTGTTAGCCAGGGGGGAGGAGTAATTGTGTTGAGGAGGTGGAGAGCATAGGTGGGGAAACGATGCTGGTGTTGGGGAGGGGGATGGAGACTGAACTCGTGAGCTAGGTTCAGATGCAGAAAAAGGCCGTGCTACACGGTTGTGAGACCCTGACCACAGAGGATAGTGGTTCTGTTGTGGTTCTGTAGTGCTGCCATCAAACACTGACCAACCACGGGTACACACACCCCTGGTGTTATTTACACTGCTGAGTGGTGTTGAACCAACYCTGRTGTTGTTGTTGTTGTTGTTGTCAGTCTGCGATGAACCGTTGTTGGAATGAAGGAATGAGGGATGCAGGTACGACGTCGGAGAGTAGAGAGGCTGACGAAGGCTCGTAGATGGAGAGGGAGGAGACTGCATAAAGGATGGAGATGGACACGAGGACCAGAGAGAGGATGGGGGACATCTGGGATGTTGCACCCCATCCTTAGTGCACCCCAGATGGGAATGGGCAGGAGCACTAGTGTCTGGGGGGAGTTTAGGAGAAGGAGAGTACCGTCGCAGGTGAGGAGTGGAAGAGGGACTTTGATTGACTGTCTTTGTGGGTGGGGCTTGTTGCCATGCAGAGTTGCTTTTAGCAATACACTGACTGATGGACTGACTGATGCAGGAAGCAGCTAAAGATCTGCTAAATGCAGAAGAAGTATTGGAAGATGAACACGGTGAAAAAAGGTCCGAGGAAGAGGGGCCTGTCCTCAAAGATGAAGACTTTTCAGATGAAAGACGGGAGGGAGGTGGGGATAAACAGGACAGAGATGTGAGAGTCGGATTCAAGGGGTCTGCTGGAGTTACAGGGGTGGGAGAGGACGACGGGATGATCCTGAACGGTGATGAGCAGGGAGATGATTGGACAYAGGAGGTGGGGGGAGATGTAAGAGGCCTAAGGCCTACGGGGACAGGGGTACTGGTGGAGGATCCTGACACCGGCACATCTGGCTCCCTGGAAATGACAAAACACAAAGGTGAAAATGCTGAAGGGGTTAACTCAGCTACAGCTCTGRAGCCAGTAACAAACCAGACAAAAACCTCCAGAAAGTCTGGATCCAAGTTTAACAGAGTCTAGGAGAGGCTGGATCCCTGGAGTTGCAACTTGTTTTATTAAAGAATTCTGATAAACGGTTCTTTGTTGGTTTTGTTCAGAAGGTTTGGACCACAGTGGMGAGAACAGTGGGGAGGGTCTTTGGTTTCAGCTCCAGCAGGATTAACAGCAGGAAGAAAAAGACTCCCTGATAGGAAAGAGCAGGACTGTGAATGGTTCAGTTAGTTTTCACTCCTCTGCCTCTCCATTAAAAACAGTCCTGAACTTCAGTGTGGCTTTGTGCTCTTTATTTAGTTAAGATCCCATAAAACTATGGTTTTCAGTCTACAAGTTTAATTTGTTGCACATGTCTGATTCTTTCTTAATGTTTCTAAATGGTTCGGATTATTTGTTGGGTTTGACTTTTCAACAAGCAGAATTCTTGTTGGTCCATTTGTTGACTTCATAGCTGCAAAGCAGAGAACCAAACTGTGCAGAGAGTAGTGCTCATTAAAAGGTCAAAGGTCATCTCTGATTGTGGCTGTATGAAAAAGTACAGATCTATGTAGTCCAACACTTGTGCTGAGAGTAACGTGGCCAAAGGCAGATTTGTTGCTAAAAATAGAGCCCAGAAAACAATCACTGCAGATTTCTTACAGATGGAGAGAGAAGAACCCTGAGGCACATTCCTCACAAGAACTATAATCCGCCTACACTTAGTCACGAATTATTTAAACTCTAAAACATCAACATGACTGTGAAACAACACGTTGCTTCTTTCAAATTACAATCAGGGAAGAAAAGTTTCTTTAGTTGTAGAACCAGGGGAAGAAATGAAGCAGACGGTCTGGTGTGGGATTATAATCTATAGGATCGTCTTTGTTCCAACTGTCACTGTCAGAGAAAGGAGCTGCTGGATTCAGATTTCAGGACTGGGTTCAGTCAAAACCAGGAACTCTGATGGTTCAAAATCTAGGTTGAACTCAAGCTTCTTCACCTGAACCAAAGGCCACTCCTGGACTGAATCAGTCCTTTATGAAACCAAACCCCATTTACTATTATTGCTGGTTAGTGGTACTTTTGTTTTTTGTGCATTGTCTACAGTTTGTAAACTAGTGTGAGAACCTCTATACTGATGCTGCTGTGACACCTGAATTTCCCCTCAGCGGGACAATAAAGACTATTTCTATTCTATTTTTATTCTATTTCTATTCTTCTATTTTAATAGCCTATGCCACTCACAGGTTTCTGTTCCAACACTTACGTATTTTTTGGCCACGGACAGCACTTCCGGTTTGCAGGCAACACTTTGTTAGCGTAGCTTTTTTCASTGGGTGGCTGCTGTCCACAGRACAGGGTTTACATATTACATGTAACAWTAACACAGGAGAGGCTCTAGAGAGGATTAAACCCATAAAAAACAAAGGTAAAACATCCAGAATTAGGGCTTTTTCACTCTTCCTTGGCTGCTTGTTGTGTGGATTGTTCACGTAGAGCTGTGACACTGTTGGAAAGAGCAGAGTCTGGACTTTAAACTGATGGGTACTTGTTTGGTTTGGATCGTTTTCCCCGACGTTACTGAACTGAAAACATAATGATCATCAGGAGGAGGTTCTGCTGCTCTCAGGACAGGAGGGGAGGGTTGTGTCTACACTGTAATATACACTCTGACAAGTTTTTGTTTTTGCATAAAACTCATGAAAAAGTTGCCTAAAATAGTTTCATACTCTGTATAACACACACACACACACACACACACACACACACACATCTTGTGAAGAATTTAATGTTCTTGTCGGAAGCAACAAAACGGTGGATGCTGAACAGCTGCCTCAGCGTCAGGCTCTCTAACTGGAGAAGATCATTTACCTCCAGCACTGAATCCACAGTCTGAAGTAGAGACATGATCCTGATCCAAACATCTAGTCTGTATACTGGCCGCTGTGTTAGCGTCCTCCTCGCTGTCCTCTAGGTGAGTTTTGCTCTCTCGGGTCTTGGCAGTAAAGGGGTTAATGGTACAGCTCCCTTCTTTAATCTGTCTTCTCATTTCTGACGCTGGCTCTTGAGTGTCGTCAGGTTTGAAACGCGAGTGTTTGCCTTAACTCCTCATCAAGAGGAACATGGAGAAAAACGAACGACTCTATAATTCCTGCTGGTTAGTGGACACAACGACACACAACAGAACTCATATTTTATACCAGCAGCTCACAGATGCTTGGTCTAGTTCTAGGAGCTAACGCTAAAAAACATCATGCAGTAGGCAGGACCTGGAAGTGATGCTCATGGCCTGAATTTTAACAGAAGTACGTTAATAACAGCTGTGGCATACAGGCTATTCAGAAATATTTTTATGTAATACTCAATTATCTGAGGCAAACGGTTCAATCACTGAGGGGAAATCCTCAGTCCTACAGCAGAGAGAAAGAAGACAAAACCCCTGAAGTTTGGGTGAAGAAGAAGAGGAAAGAGTTTGTAAAAACATTAGAAGATTTAGTTATTTAGAGACYTCATCAGACTCTAACCTGCGATTGTTGTTTTTTTCTTTTGGCTGCTCCTTTCAACAGAGAGCACCACAATGAGCAAACTCAGATATTTTTACTCCAAATGCAGCCACTGACCACAGGTCAATCAATCAATCAGTGGATCAATCAATCAATAATCAATCAGTCAGTGGATCAACCAATCAATTAATCAATCAATCAATCCAAAAGCCTGCCTGCCTATCTATCTATCTATCCATCTATCCATCTATCCATCCATCCATCCATCCATCTATCCATCCATCCATCCATCCGAGTTTGGAACATAGAAGGTCCAGCTTTGCCTTTCAGACCCCTCTTCACCATGACTGACCAGAGCAACATCCTCATTACTGCAGGCTGAGATTCTTTGGTATCTTAAGCTTCATTAAAGTTAATAAATCCTTTTGATACATTGACTTTTGTGTATTTATCAATAAGACCACATGATGATGCTTAGGGAAATATATTTTACTGGACTTGATTGTTTGAATTATTTGGGGGCAGTAGAGCAGCTTTTGTTGGGGTACCTGGGTAAAGAAGGCTTCCATTGCCTCAGTTCAGTTTTTTGTTTTTACCTGCTGTAACAGTCAGAAGATCTGCTGATGTTCCAGGACACAGATGAAGCCTGTTTGCTCTGAGCAGGTGGAAGAACTGTTCTGTGGCAGCTGGACATTGGGAAACAGTCTGTAGATGATGGAGACCAGGGCTCCATGGATTCTGAAATCTGGCCTGATGACCATGGATGGCATGATACTTTGTATATTACTTTATGATCCAGAAGGTCCTCAGAGAGGTCTGAGGTCATGGTGTAACGTGGAATGGGAAACTCTTCCTGGTTCTCATTTAAAGACTGGTGTCTCTCTGGCTCCCCCGTGGCCCCGAGCATTGTGGACTCTTCCTCTGTCAGTGTTTCCTGTGCGGTGGGCTCTCTGCTCAGTTCTGGGTGAGACCTCTCTGAGATGCTGGACTCCGATGGGGCTTGACATAACAGAAGGTCTTCTGGAGCCTCCTTTGTCCAAGGTGAAGATCCAGATCCAGCATACAGATTCTCGTCTCTGATCAAGGTTTCCTTCATATTATCGAGTCCAGAGCTGGTCTGCTCTAACACAAGTTCATCTGTTTTTTTCAGTAGAGGGACTACACCTTGTTCAAAATCTTCATCTTGAGCTTCATCTTTGGAAACTCTGCATTTTGATGGGCTGAAAGACCCCTCTGAGGGAGCTGGTACAATATTTCCACTTATTGAGTCTTCTCTAACGGTGTCAGTTGGCTGGGGGATGGTGTTTCCAGATGTTGAGTCTTCTCTAACAGTGTCAACTGGCTGGGGGATGGTGTTTCCAGATGTTGAGTCTTCTCTAACGGAGTAAACTGTGTGGATGACTGTGTGACCAGATGTTGAGTCTTCTCTAAAGGAGTAAACTGGGTGGACGACAGCACTTCCAGATGTTGAGTCTTCTCTAAAGGAGTTAACTGGCTGGATGACAGTGCTTCCAGATGTTGAGTCTTCTCTAATGGAGTAAACTGGGTGGACGACAGCACTTCCAGATGTTGAGTCTTCTCTAAAGGAGTTAACTGGCTGGATGACAGTGCTTCCAGATGTTGAGTCTTCTCTAACGGAGTAAACTGGCTGGGGGATTGTGTGTCCAGATGTTGAGTTTTCTCTAACGGAGTAAACTGGCTGGATGACAGTGCTTCCAGATGTTGAGTCTTCTCTAACGGAGTAAACTGGCTGGATGGCAGTGCTTCCAGATGTTGAGTCTTCTCTAACGGAGTAAACTGGCTGGATGGCAGTGCTTCCAGATGTTGAATCTTCTCTAACGGAGTTAACTGACTGGATGACAGTGCTTCCAGATGTTGAGTCTTCTCTAACGGAGTTAACTGGCTGGATGGCAGTGCTTCCAGATGTTGAATCTTCTCTAACGGAGTTAACTGGCTGGAAGACAGTGCTTCCAGATGTTGAGTCTTCTCTAACGGAGTTAACTGGCTGGATGGCAGTGCTTCCAGATGTTGAGTCTTCTCTAACGGAGTTAACTGGCTGGATGGCAGTGCTTCCAGATGTTGAGTCTTCTCTAACGGAGTAAACTGGCTGGATGACAGTGCTTCCAGATGTTGAGTCTTCTCTAACAGAGTAAACACAATATCCTTTATCTTCCTCCAACCTGCAGACAAAGAGCACAATCAATCCTTAAAAAGTATCACATAGTGTTTAAGAGAACAAACATCTGTTTGTGAAGTAACCCAGCTGGAGAATATTTAGGAACAATAAAGGTGAGGAATCCATCCTGTCTATAGTTTCCAGCAGACATCTGCAGAGTTCTCTGCAAATAAGAAACCTTCCTGAACTCACCTGACTTTTTGCTGTTCCACTTCAGAGGCTGAAAAAATATGAAGAACTTCTCCTCTTGCTGCAGAAGATTCTTTGAACTCTGAACTTTTAGAGTGAATGCTTTTAGTCCAAGGTGCCAAAGCAGATGCCGAGGGGTGGTTTCTGGAACCCTGACCCTGCATCTGCGTTCTGAGCTGATCATTTGAATCTGGAGAAGTAGACGGTGTTTCAAGTTGGACTTCACTCCTGGAGGATGGAGGTTCTCCTAGTACGGCTGGAGACGCTTTGGTCAAGGCAGAGATGAAGTCCCTCGGTCTGGAGAGCATGAACCCATTTGTTTGCAGAGAGGGTGGGGTCACGTGAGCAAACAGCTGAGATTCTCTAGGCAACACCATGTTCTCGTGTAGCTCTAGAAAAGAAAAAAAAAGAAATAATTTGTCATAACTAAATTTGTGAGTTTAGTGACATCAGACTTTGATCTACAACAGACTTAAGACTTGAAACCATGAAATCTAGCCCACCATTAGTCTGGTTTTCTGCCTTCTTTATCATCATCTCCTCCTGAAACTTTTGGCACTCATGGCTCATGGTTTGGATCTGGTTCTGACCACCAGCCTTGACTGACTGCTGCCTGGTCTGCTTGCTGGCTAGGCTCTCAGCTTTGGTATCTGGACCAGGTTTGGTTTCTTCTTGATCTGTTTCTATGTGATGCTGTGTAGAACTTCTGTCTTGGTTCCAAGTAGAACGTCCAGTCAGTCTTGCAGATGTCCATGACTGAGTCCACACAGTGCTGGCCTGTTTCTCATGTAGCAACACATTCATGGTGCTGGCTTTGGCACTGTACATCTGGGCCATTGTTTGGACCTTGCTTAGAATACGCTCTGAGTTTTCCATCAGGACAGGGTCCACCACTGGGTTCGACTCAAATAACCCAATACCAGTGACATCTGAGGCCATTCCTTCAAACAATGCTCGATTAGCAGTCACAATCCTGGAGTGGCGGGACCATCGACCCACTTTTATCTGACTGGTGAAACCCTTCAGGTTCTCCTTAGTCCCTACCTGGTCTCTGGTTAGGTTTTTAGACCAAGTAGACTGGGCTTTGCTAATTTGGGTTTTTTGTTCTTGTGTAAGATGTGCAGAAGATTCTGTACAGCTCGTAAGAGGTTCTGCTTGTTTGAGGGCATGCCCATTGCTAACAGGTTGATACACAGCACTGGTCGTTCCTTCTTCTGTGGGTTTAGGATCTTCAGAAAGTGTTGAAGCTTCTTTTTCCAGTAAATTTGCTATTTTGGGTTTACTAACCACAACGTTCTCCCACTCCGTTTCCATCACTCTTTCCTCCAAAGATTTTTCACAGATGTCCTCAGTTTTGTCCTGGATCTCCGGCTCCTCTTCAGTAAGTCTGTTTGGACTTGATTCTGGATTCAGACTTGCTTGGGTTGGAGACTCCTGGTTTTGAATCCCATCACAGACTACTGGCTCCTCTGGCTCAGAATTAAAAACGGGAATTGYTTGATCTACCTCTTCATCACAGTTTGATTTTACTGAAATGTAAGTGGGACCAGTAGAAGAACTGGACTCAGTCTCCAGCTCTGGTTCTTCACAGTCATGTTTGAAATACATGCTCACTGGCTCCTCATGGTGTCCACCCATACTGAAGCGTGATACTGACTGTTTTACCAGGCCAGTGGGAATTTGTGAGAAACTGTTTCTTCTTCTTGATGGTACTTCATCTCTCAGCTCTTCTTCCTCCTCTCGCTCCTCTTCCTCGGCCTCTGCAGCAGCCTCATAGTAGCTCCGGATCTTTTCGATGATCTTCTTGTCTCTCTTGGTGAGGTGAGATGCCCTTGGTGGATGACATCTCTGGATGAGGTGATGATATTGATGTTTGGACTCAGTGTCTTTTGTTGGGTCTCTGCTGATCTCTGTCCTTTCTTCTGTTGACAATGAGGGATGAAGATTTGAAGATGAAAATGGATTAAGGACACTTTTTCCCTGAGCTTCCTCTTTTTCAGCCTCTTCCTTGTTTGTCTGTTCTAATGGACCTGTTGCATCTGTAATTTCTTGGACTTCATTTGTAGCCGTCTCTCTTTGGTTGATCTGGTTTTGGATGCTGTTGTTCTCCATTTCTGCTCCTCCCTGCTCATGTTGGGGAGGCAGTCTTTGTTCTGGACTGGAGATGGGGGTCAWTGGACTGGTGAAGGTGGTCCTGTTTGACATAGACTTTGTCTCACTGAGAGAATCCTGGGTCTCCTCCTGAACAAAGTGAGAAAAACAGCAAAAGGATTAAGTCTACAATTAGTTCATCCAGTGTGTCCATTTTCTATCAAACTGAGTATAGATTGTTTGTCTTGTTACCGTGTTGAATTCTTCTTTGGTTCTGTTCTGGTTGATAAACTCTAGAATCTCCTCTGTGATGGATAAAGTGGGAGGAGCACTGAGGGGGGTTAGTTCCTCTTGTCGCTCTTCCTCCTGATTTAAACAGAAACAACTTACAGAAATCCCACAATTTCAAAAAACAGATCTACAGTACATTTCTGTTATTAAAGACAGGCTGAAGTAACCTCACTTGGAGTCAGAATATACAGATGAGGTCCGTTTAACAGACCTGTCCTGTTGTTATGGAGATGACTAGGGCCAGCTCCTCTGGGGGAACTCCAAGGTGTTCCCAGACCAGCTGAGAAACATAGTCCCTCCAGCGTGTCCTGGGTCTTCCTCTGGGTCTCCTCCCAGTGGGACGTGTCCAGAACACCTCACCAGGGAGGAGTCCAGGAGGCATCCTAACCAGATGAACCACCTCAACTGGCTCCTCTGGACGTGGAGGAGCAGCAGCTCTACTCTGAGTCCCTCCTGGATGACGCAGCACCAATCCACCTGTTGATCTCCTGCTCCATTCTTCCCTCATTCATGAACAAGACCCTGAGA